TGAGCTGAGCTTAATGATACCCACCTGAGCTGAGCTTAATGATACCCACCTGAGCTGAGCTTAATGTTACCCACCTGAGCTGAGCTTGGTGAATCTCAGCAATCTTCTCCTCCTGCTTGGGTGTCTGCTTCAGCAGGACCTTGAACTCTGACACGTATCCCTCCTGATGTACGTCTGGGTCGTAGTCTCCAAGCTCAGCTGCATCACAAAGCCATATATCAGTAGGGAAGCACGGATGCTGGGAGTGCAGAGATGTAGGATGACTTCAGAGATGCTGGGATGCTGTGATGCTGGGATATTGGGTAGTAGTGATGCAGAGATGTGGGAATGCAGAAGGGATGCATGATGTAGTGATACATACAGGCAGAGATGCGGGGATACAGGGACGTTTCATGTCTATGAATAAAACACCAATGTATTAACAAACTATCCTGTTTTGCTTCTTTTTCATCTCTCCATATTTTTCCGCTCATTCTATTTTTCTCCTTCTCTCTTCTCCCCCACTTTCTTCCTCCCTCTTCCTTCTCTTTCTTCTCCTGTCCCTCCTCTGTCCCATATCCCTCCCTCCTTCCTCCTGCTCCCCTTCCTTCTCCCTCCCCTCTCCCTCGCCTCTCCCTCCCTCCTTCCTTCCTTTCCTCCTCCTCTTCCATCACACTCACACTGTATGACGTGCGCGGCGAGCCAGGCTGAGTCGCTGGGAGAGCAGAACAATCTGCCGTGGAGCAGGTCCCTGCGCATCTGCAGGAACAGCTGGTAGCGCGTGATCTCCTCCTGCAGCTTGCTCGGGTCCGGCGGATAGAACTTAACTCGGAAGCAGAAGATGTACGGCTCATGACCTACGAAACGTCAAACCAGTGGTCAACGTGACGACTATACGACATTACGAATGAATGCCATAGGTGGTTACAGTGGCATAGTTACAACAGAACAATGGGAACTCAATTACTTTAGAGTAAGACATCATTAGAGTGAGTAAGACATCATCAAAGTACCACCTAGGTAGAAAGGTTAAATCAGTCGTGAACGTGATGACTATATATGACATTGCAGATGCATACCAAAAACAGAACAACCAGAACTAAATTACTACAGAGCAAGACATCATTAGAGTGAGTAAGACATCATCAAAGTACCACCTAGGTAGAAATCTTAAATCAGCCGTCAACGTGATGACTATATATGACGGTGACTAATATGACAGTAGGGATGAATGCCAAAAACAGAACAACCAGAACTAAATTACTATAGAGTAAGACATCATTAGAGTGAGTAAGACATCATCAAAGTACCACCTAGGTAGAAATCTTAAATCAGCCGTCAACGTGATGACTATATGACGGTGACTAATATGACAGTATGGATGAATGCCAAAAACAGAACAACCAGAACTAAATTACTATAGAGTAAGACATCATTAAATAGAGTGAGTAAGACATCATCACAGTACCTAGAACGTAAATAGTAAGAAGTACTGAGACCTACTTTAATAGAGTGAAGTTAGGGTAAGGTTGGTTTAGGGCGGTTACAGTTCGGGTGAGAATAATGATGTATGTACAAGGATTCTAATAGCATAGATTAAACATTAAATTAATTTTTTCTCTTTTTTTTCATTATATAAAAATAAATATTTAAATAATAAATAAATATAAGCAAGAACGAAGCCGCACGGCACTGAACACAGGGTCTACCAATCAATAAGCCAGCACGCTACTCCCACACCCAGGCAACTCTTAGCCCTTTCATCTGCCTCAAAGATGGTCTTCACAGGCCGTCCAGCCATCTGAAAGACGACAGAGAGAGCGGTAGGAAGAATTATAAACGACAGCAGCTTAAAACTGACTGAGGAGAAACATTCACAACGGAGCGGGGGGGCGGGGGGGTATCGAACGAAAATGGGAGACGACCTCCCTTGAGGGCATGTCGACAAGGAGATGTTCTGGCGATCAATTGAGTTGCGGCGTTGCGCTTCCCACCCATCTCTCTTCCGTATATTCCTCACATGCCTCTTCTCCTAGGGGGGTAGGCTCGAGCGAGCCACGAGGGGGCGGGCGACGGAATTCGAGCTCGGCGAG